CTCATCGACATCAACAATATCAAAACTACAACCAAAAACAAAATCATCAGAAATCAATGTTTCATCAACTACCCCATCAGTAAAAAAATCAAATTCAGAAAATGTAGTCAAACAGCAACAATCATCATCACAAACACCTCAAATAAATAATAATTCAACTAGTATTAGTAATAGGAAAAATTCATTGCTCAAACCCGATGATATATCGATTACATCGACGAAAAATATAACTTCTGATCATTCCAATACATCAAGAAAAAATTCTTTAACGGCACCAACCGACACACCAAGAAAAAGTTCTTTAACGCCACCAACCGATGCACCAAGAAAAAGTTCTTTAACGCCACCAATCGACACACCAAGAAAAAGTTCTTTAACGGCACCAACCGATGCACCAAGAAAAAATTCTTTAACGGCACCAACCGATGCACCAAGAAAAAGTTCTTTAACGGCACCAACCGACACACCAAGAAAAAGTTCTTTAACGGCACCAACCGATGCACCAAGAAAAAATTCTTTAACGGCACCAACCGACACACCAAGAAAAAGTTCTTTAACGCCACCAACCAATACATCAAGAAAAAATTCTTTAACGGCAATAACCGATTTAAAATTACCACATGCTCAAACGGTGAATAGTCTAAGTACGATGACTCAACAGTCATCACCACAAAAAACAACTCTTACACAAACAACAAGTGCTACAGAATTAACAAAAAAACCATCAACAACAACTGTAATGATAGATGATGAAAAACCATTGGATCGATCACATTTGTCAAAAACAATGGATATGAAAAAAGAGCATCAGCATCAGCAAACGCACACGGATAAGTCATTAATACCAACAATGAAAAAAAGGTAAGAAAAGTTTGTTCTTGAAACATGTCAAAGAACTCATAGGATTATATCGAAAAGATAAAAAGTACTAGAAATAGCGCTTAAAGAATAGACAGGAAGCAATAGACTACTAAAAATTAAAAATTCATGTCGATTTCCCTTAAACATATACTACATATACCATTATACTTAATCTATTATTTTGGGAGCAGTATTTACAAGCCTGCGGCTGTTCCTGTTACCCGCTTAGATGTAATGAAACTTTGAACTCACAAAGTCATCAGATCATGAAAGTATATACGATAGTTGGTAGATAGATAACAATCTAAGACTAGAATGCAATTGTGCTACGCACAAGTTGCGATGTCGATAAACAATGTGGACATTTCCAACTACTTATTTAGACTAACGAGTGGATTTTAAGCATTAATTTCATTGGAATCTTCTGTAGCATCAAAAATATCTGAACCAGGATATCAACCACAGTATCAATCAGCAAGAAAACAGCACACTTTTGAGGCTATGTGTGTAAGACACAACACCAAAGGCAAATACATAAAAGATAAGAAGCAGTAAATATTATAAAGAGACTTGTAGTAATTCCAGCAGAGTAATTAGCGGTTCTTCTTTCTTCTTATTGTGGTTAATCTAAACCGTTTCAACAATCAATGAATAAATTTTTAAAATGATTTCTCTCTTCAGTGAAATTCTTCGGTGTGTTTTCTATGTTTTAAAGAAAACGGTCACTTAGTATATCTTTTATTAGATGCATGTATGTGGAAAAAGAAATTCACTAATTAGAAGATATGTACACAGATTCATTTCTCAATTCTGTCTACAAATCAGAAAATACGGCGCCCGGCAACTATTAACAATTAAAAAGTTCAAAGTCCAAGACATATTTTTCTTCCACTTGTGAAACTCATCTCACCGAATCTGACGGTTGTTTAAAAACAGACATGAAATGGTCCACGTTCAGTATCCAGAGAACTATCTCTCGTTTTCAGAATGTCTCTACGTTACGTTACGTAGTTCTTTAGATCATACGACTCACTTTTTGCAAAAATGATGACTAAACAAGAAGAAGAAAAAATCACGGAACAAATACAAAATGTCTATCGACATAAAAATGCATGTGAGTATCTTTCGCCTCCTGTAAACTATTTATCTATCATTTTTAAAATAATGCTTCAAGTTTTCTACACTCAATTAGGCGCCAGATGCTTAATTTTTACTTTCAGTACGTTGAGCCATCAAATCTTGTTTTCTAAGTTTCTAGATATAGTTTTGAATGTTTAACGTTTTATCATTTATAAATGAGTGCAATTTTTCTTGTCTAAAGCGTGGTATTTGTCAATCATGTTTACCTATTTTCAGGTGTGATCGGTAGTTTATTTAGTACTTGGAGAACTGATCCTTATTCAGTATACACACAAAGTCACAAACAGAGATTTTTGATATGTATCAAGAGAGGCGTAAATCATTTTTTTAGATACTTATAGAAAAAAGAATCTTAATATCCGTTCCCACGCGTTCGAACAAAGTGATGAAAATGCTGTAAAAAATTTCTCTGCTGTTATTGAAATAACTTCATCTTTATTCTCATCTAATTTATGAAAAATTTTCAATAATTACAATTAGTTATTTTTTGTCAGTTTATCATTTCATAATTATTTATAAAAAAATATCGATCAACAACTATACGAATGATGTTTCCTTCTCAATGATGTAATATGATATTGTTGTTTTTCATTTTTTTGATAGAAGAAGGTGGGCTAAAGAGAGATACACCACCATGATGGAAAAAGCAACAATAACTTTTGTTATCTATATAGTAAAAGAAATAATGACAAATATGAAAGAATGTAAGTGGTAGCACATACTATATAGATAGAAAAGATTATGTTGAAAAAAATGTATTCTATACAAACAATAGATGATGTCTACTATTTGATGAAAATGTCCAGGCCATGTTAGTTTACTCAATCATAAAAAATTTCGTTTAATAAATGACATTGCCATTAGAAGTATAGTAGTAGGAGAGGATCTCACCTCTTAGAGATAATGTTGTAACAATGGATATTGAAAGAATGAGAATAAAAGAAAACATTGTTAAGATGCTGTCAATTACTTTGTGTCTGGAAAATCGTTATGACTGATAATTTTCGTATTTCTTCTGGATGTCTTGATTAATTAACCTTCGGCATGCTATAACATATGAACCTTGTATAATTGCCCTGTTCAAAGTAAGAAATCTATATGTAGTTATATTTATAAAAAAACAATCAAAATTGGATAAAACTATACCTACATATACCTTTTTAACCTTGTCTATGACGTAAAATATTCTATAATGATCGAAATATGATCAAATTTAGACGAATATTTTCATCTATCATTATATGCACAGCAGACAAAATAGCTTTTGTATATTCACGTGGGCTTTTTTTTTTCTCTCAATAAAGTAATGAAGAAAAAGTTGAGCGCTAATAAGAGTTTAAAAAATAATAAGTCACAAGAAACTTTTGAATATGTTCGTATTCATATAAATTTTTTTATATTTACTAGATAAAGTTTAATAAGGTTATGATTTGATGCAAAGAAACTTTACGATTTAAGAATGTGAGAAGACGTGGACATATCTATTGAGATGACAAAAAATTGCTTCCTCGATAGGTAAAAATCAAGCTTCAAAACATTTTTTTTCTTCTATAACATCTGATTCTGTTTAAGTTTTGACCATATGTTCTATTATAAGATGTACAACAGATAGTTTATAGTGAAAAAAACTTTGCGGTCTAGACAATTTGTCGTTATCTTATCGTTAACAATATATTTGCATAGTAGAGATTTTTAAAAAAAGTGATTTATCATTTATTTTATGGCATGGTTAAAGTAAGTGTGAATCATAATGTTTTAACGTCAACTTTTGAAGAACAATGTTTTCTACGAGTTCGTTTTTCTATCTGGTTTCTATTTATTTGATGAGAATGCATCTCATTTAAACAGTCATTCAAATATTTGGATGATGAGTATACTAATAATTACATGATATTTATAGAACTAAATATAGGCTTTTTTTTTCTTCAAAAGATTAATCATAATAAGAAAATATATAAAAATTTTCACTTTTTTTTTCACTGTGTATTGGTTATTTTTATTTATCTCTACTACCATGAAATATTTCTTGAGCGTTTTTGTATACCAGTCAAAAGTCTGGTGAAAACACGTTATATGCCGTATTTTTTTTTTGCTATGTACAAGGAACGAAAAGGAAAAAGAAAAAAAGAAAAATATTATGATTAGTTTCTTGCATTTGTAACTTATTAAATTCAATTTTTATTACTAATAGAACGACGAACAAGGCAATTCATACCTTTTTTGTACAATAAAAACATCTCACGTGTATAGAAGAGGTTGACAAAATAAAAGAAGGAAAATGAGAAGTATATACCTGCTTGTCTTAGGGGTGGTCACCTATGCAACATTGTATGTAAGAAAAAGAACGAGAAAGAAGAAAAAAAAGGTGATGGTATATGAATACGTTCATGTAATATAATTCAGTATTTGATTATTTCTAATATTTTAAGTCTTTACGATTATTATCATCACCATCATCATTATTATTATTATTATTATTATTATCATCATCATTAATTGAACATGTACATCTTACTTTTTTAGGCAATAATTTCTTTGCTTTCTTGTTACTTATGATACAATCATCGTGCAGATAAACATTTTTTTTTCTCTTTTCTCTTTTTTCTTCTCTACTTTTTTTCTTCAATAAAACGAGAAAAAAAATTCTGATGCATCGCTGGACATCAGTGGACGATGTTCGATTTAGACGAAAACCACCGCCACCACTACCACCACAATCACCACCACCGTTATCGTACAGATCTATTAATAGTAATAATAATAATCAAAATTCTGCTGCCCTTTATATTAACGTAGCTACACCATTTTATTTGAACAAAGATAATGATCATCTTGGTAATTCTATTAGTAGTCAGAGTACTGATAAAAGAACAACATCATTTAATAATGGCGATCGTTATCAATATTCTACATCTACTCATGCGCAGAATGACAAGCCGTTGTCATCATCACGTGACTATTATGTTACAACATTACCGACTAAAACGAATACGACTGCTGTTCAATTACCGTCATATTCGACTACGTATACATTTTCATTGAATCAACCATTACGTTCATCACAATCACTAACATCGCTGACATCAATAGAATCGCCGTCTACATCGTTGTCGTTTAATGATAAAAATCTTGCCGATATTATTGAAGAACCTTCATCATCGTCAAAAGATAATATTACAGATAATGATGTTAGCGATAAGACAAAAGTTCGTTCCTATAAAACAGCTTTAAATTTACCTCAACCACGTGTAGCCGATATTGTTAATCTATTTGAAAAAGGATCGGTCTCAAATATGTCATCATCTATTATTAAATTTCAAAAGCCAACTAATACAAGAATTGCATCACCAAGATGTTCAACATCATCGACTTCATCTATGGAAAATGGTGGAAGTTGTCTTTCTCCACCTTCATCTTCACCAACGAATGGTAGTGTAAGAACTAATCATTTGACACATAAAAATAGTGTCTTTTCAAAATTATGGGAACGTCGTAATGATGTTTCGCAAAAGAAACAATCAATACCAACATCTTCTGTACCTTCAACCTCATTTAATTTTCCAAATAATGGTCCGATCGTTGTTGTCGAAAAAGCAAATAGTCAGATACAAAAATCATCACCAATTATTGTCTATGAACGTATTTCATCTGAAAATAATCAAACTACATTTCGTACAAATCACGATAGGAATGAGAACAATCTAAAACGACCATTAAAACAAACCACAAATAATAATATTTATCGCACAGAATTAATACCAAAACTTTTTACACCGGTGACTTTAAATATAATTCCGACACCGTCGACGAACACATTTACAAAAACGTTAGATCAATCAAATGTGTTAGTAAATGATGATGATTCAGCAATACAATTATCACCCATTATTATTACTCATGCAACATCTGAAGATAGTTTACTTGCTGGAAGTGAAAATACTTTATCAATTTTATCTCGTTCAAGTACAACAGCTACAACAACTGATTCATCCAATAGTGATAATCAAGATACATCATCATCAATCGGTTCTTGTGAATCGAAAAATATATTTAAATCAAATATTCCTACAAAAAATCCGTCGTTTGCACGTCCAACTATATCGTCAATGCAAAAAACGCGTAATACAACAGATCAACATTCATCATTTACAAAACCAGATGAGAACAATAGTATTCCAGTGACATTTCAGCGACGAAAGAGTTTAGAAAATCTATCGACCTTAGATATACCATCTTCGGCAACATCTCCTACTACGATAAAATCATCGACAACATTTCAACGACAAACACTCGGACGAGGATCATTACGTGTATCCTCAACATCATCAAAACCACATGAATCTATTATACCGAAAAGTACACCAGTTGTTATATCGTCAAAGAAAGAGCCAGTATACTCAGAATTTAAGAAATTCTCGGACACTAAAGCAATATCATGTGAAAATCTATCGAAAGAGACGAAAATATCATTCAATGGACTACGAAACGAGCAACAACCTCATCGAACAAAACTATGGACTGTTGATGAAGATAATCTTGATGAAAATATTTCTAGCTTCAAACCGTTACCAGTTGTTGAGACGCCAGTTGTGAATAATAATAGTGTTAATGATGATAAACGTTTATCACCGTCACCAACAATAGCTATAAATTCAAGTTATATAGAAGAAAAAAATACTATATCATCAGCAACAAATAATGGTACTATGTTAAAAAGAGGAAGATTTATGTCTGAAGCGAATTTATTGGATCAATACCGTCGTTTTTCATCTGAAGATGCAATTCGTTCCGATTCAACACTATTCAATCCAAATAAACCCTTAAAATATAAACAAGATTCACTAATAAAATTATATGGGTGGGTTATAACTAATACACAGTATAACACAATCTGCTTTACTCACACATATAAAACAAATATCTCTATCAGCTTTAGTAAGTAACAACTTAATTTGCTATTATTAATGCTTTTTTCACGCTTTGTAAAACTAGTGATCAAACACATTATAGAATAATACTATTTTATTCATACTATATTACATTTAGTTTATATCTAAATATTGATATCAAAATTGTAGGTAGAAGACATCTAGAATTCCAAAAATCCTTCAATATTTAATAGTTTGTTCTACAGCAACCCTCGATATTCTATTCAATTTGAACAATATGAAGATGTCTTTTGTATTAGTATCATCTAGGTAGAGAAATATAAAGAATTTATTGTTGTTTAACCTTCACAATTATCGTTGTTTTTCTCCTTCTCACATAATCTTTATTGTTATTATTTGGTTTGTATTGTGCAAACTTTAATATATATAGTGTATTGCAATTGATGTAAAACGAATTTTATATACAAGGACACCTAAATGGATCTATATGATATTTTCTATGACTAAATATATCACGATTTGTTTATATAACACATAGAATGAGTGTAATCTATATCACGATTTTCTGTCGTTTTCCTCAATATCTACAATTATAATCTATGCATTTTTTATCTTCTTGCTTCTCTGCTATTTCTTATTTTATTGATGTACAACAAAAAAAAAAAAAAAAACAAGAAAAAGAAGAAAACAGTCAACACATTCCATCACCATATACACATCGTTTAAAACGAGTAATTGATATTTGTTCCAATAATAGTAGCAGTATATAAAAAGAGAAAAAACATACTAGTTTTACGTTTTTATACACATGACAGATTAATTACTAATAAAGATTAATCATGAAAAAAATTTAATCAGCTGGATAAAATAACGCTTTATCTAATACACACTTCTATCAATTTTCATATAATACAAATAATTAATAATAGACTAATATATTTTAAATGTCATTTTTTTTTTTTGTTTTGAATCTAGGGCTGATGCTCAACGAATAATGCATCCATCCGAAGTTGTTCTGGAAGATGGTAAGTATCTTAAAAATTATAACTATAAAGAAAAACAAATGATGATGATGTGTTGAAATAATATGTTACAGTTAAAGTAAATAAAATCAATCTAAAACAAATGATAAGAAGATTTTTAGTCCTGGTTTGTTTTTGTCTTCTTCTTTTATTTTAGATGTTGATCCACCATTTTTACCACGAAATGTTGTTATTAAAAAAACAAAATGGATAACAGATGAATATGAACTATTAGAATTTCTTGGAAGGTAAAATTTTTAAATAATTTTTCTATATTAAATTTTGTTTTTTCTTTTTATTTATTTTTTCTTTTTTTTCTTTTAAGAGGTAAATTTGGTGAAGTTAAAAGATGTCGTGAAAAATCTACGGAGAGACAGTTGGCTGCAAAATTTATACAAATATCAAAAGAACAAGATCGTATTGAAGCTATTAATGAAATTGATGTTATGAAAGCATTACAACATCCAAGATTATTACAATTATATGATGCATACGAAAAGAAGGGAGAAATTTGTCTTATTATGGAATTGTATGTATTTTTAGATTATTTTTTTTTTTATTTAATATTATTTTATATCTAAATAATTGTATATTATATTCTAGAATTACTGGTGGAGAATTATTTGAACGTGTTATTGATGATGATTTTATTTTAACAGAAAGATTATGTGAATTATATATGATGCAAATATGTGAAGGTGTACAATTTATGCATTCATCAAATATAATTCATCTTGATATGAAAGTAAAATAATTTATAAAATTTAATTTAAAAATTAATATCATATTGTCATAATTCTCACTATTTTATAATTATTTGAATTTTTTTTAGCCAGAAAATATATTATGTTTAAATCGTGATGGTCATCGAATTAAAATAATTGATTTTGGTTTAGCACGTAAATATGATCCAACAAAACAATTAAAAGTTTTATTTGGTACACCAGAATTTGTTGCACCAGAAGTCATTAATTTTGATCGTGTTGGATATGGTACAGATATGTGGTAAATAAAGTTCAAATTTTTTATAAAAAATATATATTCAATTTTATTATGTTTATTTCATTTATTAGGTCTGTTGGTGTCATTTGTTATGTATTGTACGTAAAATTTTATAAAAATTTATAATTTTATCAATAGAAAATGAAAAGAAGATTGACTTTTCTTGTTTTTCTTTCTTTTTTTTTACTTTAGATTATCCGGTTTAAGCCCATTTATGGGTGATAATGATAATGATACGTATGCAAATATTAATCGGGCAAATTATGACTTTGATGATGAAGCATTTACAGATATTTCAGCAGATGCAAAAGATTTTATTTCAAAACTGTTAATTAAAGATAAAGAGTAAGTTATTTCTATGTATTTATAATTGAAAAGACGCTTTTTTTTTTGTCTTGTTTTCTTGTAGTAAATCATACTTATTTTCTAATTTAGTCTTTTATTTATATATTATAGAGATACATTATTGTGGTTTATGTCTTTTTTTTTTTTAGAAAACGATTAGCAGCTAAACAATGTCTTCAACATCCATGGTTAACAAGGCATCCAAAAACTGTTTCACCAAAGAATATTGATGATGAAACAGAAAAAAAATTATCAACAAAAAAATTAAGACGCTTTGTTATCAGACGACGTTGGCAGGTAATTAGATATAATAACTAAAAATATATTATGTTAGAAAATAATTCTTATTTTAGAAAGCTGTCAATGCTCTATTAGCATTACAACGTATGGGTATGACATTATGAAATGATAATTTTATATTAAACTTGAAAAAAATAAATAAATCCATTATTATTATTTAATTTTAAATCTTTTTTTTTTCGTTATTCTTGTTCTCCTTGTATACGCAAATTTTAAGTATGTGTTTCATTTTTCGTCTTTTCTTCTCTCTCTCTCTCTCTTTCTCTTTCTCTCTCTCTCTTACTTTATATCTATCGTTACATTGTCTTCTATGTCTTTCAACTTTATACACATAGACACACATACACCTCAGTCATTCGTTTGAAAATGAATTGAATTCTTTAAAAGATGAAAAATATTTCGTGTTATTTATTGACAAATATACGAAATAGTCCTTTATTCTCTCTTGGAATTTTTCGTTGTACGCTTATAATAATTTGTTACTATTTGTTTGTTTTTGTTCTATTTTTTTATTTATTTATTTTTATTTCGGATAAAAATGTGTTCTCAAAATAACAAAACAAAAGAAGAAGAAAAAAAACAAAACAAAAACAAATTATTAAAAAGAAAAATAATCTATGCATTCGTCTGTGTAAATTCAACATTTGTATATCTAGATTAGGAATTGTACATTGAAATACATACATAAATGATCCTTTACTTCTGATGTTCTTCTAGTCTCACAATAAACTTTTTCAAAATCATATTTATTTGATTAAATTCACTCGTTGATACTAATAAACCATTGATTAGTAGACGGCACATTGGAAGTTAACCTTATGTTCTATTTATGTCTCAACTTACAATTATTGAAAAGAAATTATAGGAGCGAATTTGAGGGATCAAAATACAGATTTTTTAAAATTCTTTCGTTTTATTTTTAAAGAAAGTTTTGGCTATTCTTAGCTTTCAAACAATTTTTTCATAAAACTAATGTCATGGAATTAACTTGTCGAGATGCATTGAATCATGCGTCAGTATTACAGGCCAGACTTTTGACATGGATGTTGGCCACATCGTCGGAAATTAAAAACTTTTGAAATCTATACAGCATAACGGAAACAGAAGAAAACAATGAATGATTATAATGACCACGAACAAACAGTAACTTATTAATATTCTGAAAGTGCAAAAAATTGTATTTATTTTATTTTTATTCCTTTATTTCGTTGAGGACAAATTTTGTTTTAATACATATTTTCAAAAAAAGAAAGACATAAGTATTTCTTTTAGCCTGATGATCATTTGACTATTAAGTGAAAACTTTAACTACACACTCTTTTGAAAGTTAAATTTTTGAATTTTAACAAAAATCTCAAGTTACGTATCTTTCTTTATTAGTTTAAAGTTACAAATTGTTGCTAAAAGAAGAAAAAAAAAGAAAAACCTACATTTTTAATATTTTCAAAAGAATGTGCACTTAAAGTACAAATAATTCTCTACAAAAGATGAAAAATTCAAGTGTAGTTGTCATTTTCACTCAGAATTATAGTAATTCTACTAGAAACGGGCTCAAAACAAGATGAGTATGTGGTTGACACCTTAACAATGGTTCTGTCTATTTGACACAATTTTAAAGTGAAAAAAATATATCCTAGGCTGATTTATAAAAGCTTTTTTGTAATGAACCTCATATTTCAAAAGTGACTCTCGATCGTAAAACTACTGTATTTTAGTGGCCATTAAGAGCTAATTGAAGAAAATTAGGGCTACATTTTGGTAAAAAAGAAAAATTGTCATCCCTTGTGGATCAAGAGTTATAAGCATTTTTTTGAGAAAAAAAAATGCAACGCTATTATCTGATGAATCATCCAGTTAAAGAGACTCAACTTTTCTGGGTGATTAGCACTCAGGAAGCCATATGACCATACAGAAGTAAAAGTCCCTACTTATCATGGTTCTTGAGTTACGGAGATGATTTTACTTTTTATGAAATATTGTAATAAACACAAAGAGAGGAAGAAAAAATATATATAATCAAAAGAAAATGTTCTATTTTGTATGTTTTAAGCCATTTCAAATCACGCTGATTTCTGCCCACAAATGGTAAATCAGTTGCGCAATTCTTATCGTGATAGCGATCGAATCCGAGATGATCCGTGACTCAACGAAAGCTTCACCAAATGGACGCGTCTTGCAGAACATCACGCGAGATCTCAACGTGATGTTGTTTACTGATGCTTTAGCGACCGTAGTTGAGATTTATCGCGTCAAACTCTCCACATAACTACACAAGACTTACAACACAATCGTTTTGTTCTCACCGTGACTATTATCCGTTTTGTTCATCATAATTAAAATATCGATGGTAACATTTGGCGACTTGAAGGTGATAAATTGCTGAGATATAACAAAACTTCGAATATCAGTAAAGATTATATATTATAAGTCAGTGTAACACAAAATGATGAGTGAGATCTGTTAGGAAGTTCTACCTCAACTTTGTTTAATATCGTGGCTATAAGATAAAAGTGCAATCGCGATATGATTTTGACATCTATTTGAAAAAATCGTGTCTAGAAGAATATTTTATATCCAAAAATATGACTACTTTTTGTATGTGAAGCAATTTGAATGATGTTTTTTGTATCATTAATTAAATTATCATGTATTTTGTTTTAGTATCGGTATTTCCAGATGTTTAATTAACTACTGTGATACAATTCTGTTAATTCATATTTCTTTCAAATCGTCACGACAATCTTGTACGATCGTTGCTTTATTCAGATAGATTTCAAATAACATCGTTAACCCATGTGATAAAGATAGAAAAGTATTCATATTCTATAGATGAACGCTTCATTTAGTTAAATAGTGGAAAAGAAAGATTATTATTACTCCATAACATATAGAAGAGTTTTATTATCTGATAACATAAAATCAGTCTATATTTTAAAATTAAGTAGAAATGTGATCCAAACATCGGACTAACTAATAGTCAAAATTAGCTTTTCACGATCTCTTTACACAGAGTATCCATAATCTTTGTTTCGTTGCCCTATGATAAATTACACTTCTATTTCGCACCTCCTTATATCTTATCTAATTATATTGACAAAATTATACGGACAATTAGCAAAAGAACGTGATTATAATGAAGCACCTGCAATCTAAAATGGATAAAATCTCATAAAAACAGTTTGTCATTAAAAGCTTTATCAGAGAAAAAAAATTGATTTTTTTCCTATGAGATGTTTACTAAAACCCGATGGATAAGACAATATTTAAATCAAAAACTCACTTCTTTCAGTTTTTAACTACTTTCTTATGTATATTCTTGAGTAGCCGAAATGATCGTACATTGAGTGGTAAATAAGAATCTCTCAGGGCGTGTCAAACTAGTTACGTTTATCAATGAGATTCATTGTGCCTTTACATTTTAACTTTCGCCTTTTGAAATATCCTGAACAATTTTCGTGCATCCTCTTACATCAATCCCAACTACCACATAGCCATCGAATGTTTTCTTGTTAAATTCGTGTCGGTGATTATCATGGAAGGTAGTACATTAATCAAACTTAACATTTTTGCTCATTAGGATCGCATGATACAGTGGAACAGACTTTATACTCAATAAACATAACACAAACAACTATAACGCTAATATCCACTTTCATAGTTCAATATGCCACCAGCATCGCATTAGGTTCATGGAGTGGAGAATTTTCACTGACAAGTTCGAAGGCCGAGAAATATTTTGAGCTTTTAGAAAAGTCGAATTATGAAATTTATATTAGTAATACTCATCAAATAAATATGTCATACAATACAATTGCCTATTTTTGTTGACGTATGGTCCATATTTCTACTATTCCCTTACTCACACTATTTCTACCATTCTCATAGCCGTACTATGATGATCAAAGAACTTACTAATTCTTGAACTTTTCGAAAGTGGAAATCTCCATGGGATTCATGAGCTGCATTGTTTCACTGAGCCACTCTTTAACTGTACGCTCTCACGAAAAATAGTTTCATGTCTCTTTTAGATATTTCCTATACGTACCCGTTCACATTTTCCATTACTTAGTACATGCTGACCTCTTAAAATAGTCTCCTCAGTACGTGCTCGATGCAGCATCGTATACGGCATCTGCGCTCTGTCCTTTCATTTTTTACGTTTGTAATAACTTCTATAATGATAAAATCACAATAGGAAATCATTCAAGTTGCTCGATTAAAAAACCTCCTTTTCAAAGTTAACCTCGCATGTATTTTAACAATAGAATCAACTTTATTTGATGTTGTCTGGAATTAATAAATCAATTGTCGTATATAAGTGAAAGAAAAGATGTTTATTTTATTTGTTCTGCCAATGAAAAATGAAAATGAAAAGAGAAAACCAAATGAAATATGCTTAATATATTAGAAGATAACAGATTAAGTATGGCGATGATTATTTCAGAAAGAGAGAAGGAGCGTTGTATTCAAAGTTAAGTCACATTGTGAAAAAAACATCAAATGCGATGGCGATATAACTTTGATAGAGTCACAAAACACAAGCACCAACAAATAAACCAAATAACAACTCATACTTCGTTCTAATATACAAAATATTAAAATATAAAACAGAGTAGAATATTAGCAATTAATGTAAAGTGCGTATGTGTTTTAAAAAAAAAAGATGAAAAACTATATTGAAGAAAGAGATGTGTAAAAAATAATCGAATTACAGTTAATATATACAAAAACAAATGTCTCACATTTTATTAACTCATGTAAATTACGTATCTTTTTGAGCAGAGAATAAAAACAAAAAAAAAAAAAAAAAGAAAAAAATTGTGTTCGTTTCACTCAGAAAGAAAAATCATATTAACTGGAATGTAAAGCAGATGAGTAGAGAAAAGAATAATATAACATAAAATATTGAATGTAACTCACCGATAGAAACATAAAAGAACACACACCAATATAGTATATTTGTCAAATATAAAACAGTAGCTAAGAAAAAAAACTGAAAATTTTACGTCATCTCAGAAGATGAGACAACGATCGTTGTATATTATTTATGAGCAAATGAAACAGATAGATAACTCACTTTGCTTAGCGCTATTTAATAAAACAGACAAAGTATTAAAATTTTTCTTTGTTAAATTAGTGAAACTTGTCTAACAAATGTATATGTGGTTTTTTTTCTTCTAAAAACATACATTCGATTCTTACGAACTACACTGTTTCACTGCAGTAGAATAGAATGATTGTTTTTGACAAATATAGACTAGTATTGTTCTCTCATTCTGATTATAGCACCATATAAAAAGAGTTTAGAAAAATATTTTGTTTTAGTTTCAATAGTAAATAGAAAGTTCTAGTAGTATAAAAAGTGATAAGAATAAATAGAGGCGTATATGTTTTTTGTAAGAAAGATTAATTTCAAAATGATTTTTAGCTAAATATTACCAATCACCGATATAATCGAATCCAGTAAAATTTATTTGATCTTGTTCTCGAATTGGCCGTGGATCTTCGGGTGGTGTTAATATAGGCTCTTCAGCTGTAAACTCAGAATCAAAATTACTAACATCATCGGCACTATGCTAAAAACAAAAGAAAAATTAGTTGATATTAAAAGATATTTATTCAATTGTGGAACTGACTACCATTTTTCGTTCGTATGCGTGAGAACGAAAAAACAAAATTATTTGCCTGTATAATTCTGTTTTTTTTACTCCTTTCTCATGTCGCTACAGCCGATTGCTAATTCCTAGTATAGATATTTACTGGTTCTTAAATTAAAAAATTCATCTTTATTTGTATAAATACGAAGCGAAACTGAACTTTAGTTTATATTTACAATTTGAACAGCGTAATTAGGCTAGCCTCGCTGTTGGACTAATAGTGGAATTTAAAATGTAAAGTTTCATGGAAAATAGGCAAGACAAGATCAAATCTGATTACTCAGAAGCTAGAGAAAACCACTTACTCAGATGCATCAAAGGCAGTTTCTTAACTTAAATTTCTTAAAAAATTCGAGTAAGTCAAAATTTTTTGAGTAACTGTAACCAAACGAGGGGGTGGTTTGCCACCCCGTAATCGATAACGCTGTTCTCCATGATATTTGCTATCAAACGATAGCAGTAAAAAATATTTAATTTTATAATAACAAGAGAATTAAAATAAGAATAAAAATAGCCTACCACTATCGGAACAAATGGAGGTTTTATCTTCTTTGATAGCATATCTTGCCAATTAATTTGCTAAAAAATAAAAAAGAACAATAATTAATACATATTTATTATCAATGTGATACCTACACGTCTATCAGTTGAAATACAAGACGATTTATTTTGGAGAGAAACTGTCTAAATGTTGTACTGAGCATCACATGTAGTGTTAGTATTGCTCAAGAAAAACTATCAATTATCTTCCGCTTTTTTAAAAAGGATTAACAATTTTATACTTACATACGTGAATTTGAGATCCGATTAAGAGAGGCAAAATCCTGTAAGATAGGTGGACACACACTTCGAACTGATAGTGACTTAGTAACGCCATTTTGGGTAAACTTGTGAATTTCAGTGACAACTTGAATTCCAGTGTCATATCGCTCCTTTTCCTGTTACTTTTCTCCAGATACACATACTTAAAGCAGCATTTTATTCCCTTGAACTCGATAGATTCTTTTCAAAACTACTGTTATATTTCAGCATACATACATAAACAACATAGATTTATCTCTTTTACCTTAAAGAATGACTGTCGTTTGACGTCTTCAGCATCTTTTTCACCCGCTCCAAGTCGATGAGAGACATTTTTTCTTAGTAACTAAATTATAAATAAAAAAAATACTCTCTAATTATCTTAAACAGTCAAATTATTATCATCATACTCTTTTCATAATTGTAATTGCTTCAATTGATAAAAATTTTGGATATTTTACTTCATCATTAACAATACTGTCAAATACTTCTTCTTCATCATCGCCGGGAAACGGAGATTCACCGACAAGCATTTCATAGATGAGAACACCTGTTAACAAATAGATGATCCTATACAAATTAATTCTCGATGAGAGAAAATCCTACCTAAACCCCACCAATCAACAGCTCGTGTGTACGACGATTCGGTTAACACTTCTGGAGCTAAAAACTACAAGACAAGAGAAAAACATAATTATAAATTATAAAATATAATCTTTGTTGCTATTACTTCTGGTGTTCCACAAAATGTACTTGTTGTTCCGCCGTAGCCAATGCCTTCTTTACATAAACCAAAACTAAATAAAAAAAAATTAAATTTCTTGTTCTACGAATCAAAATTATATACTTAGGGCTGATCAAAAGTTCGTAGAACGATGTTTAAATTTTTATAAAATACTTAACATCGAAAGATTTATTGCATGAATACTTAGTAAAATGTCTCGTCTATAATTCTAACAGTCTTTTAGATA